AGCACTAAATATATGATGAGATAACTACTTGTACATACCTCGAACTCGACGCGACCCTCGACGACAATCTGCTCGATGCCCTGGCGGATGGCGCCCAGGTTGCGCAGCTGGTCATTGATGCCCTGACGCACAAAGGCGACCTTGGCCGTGAGAACGGCGTCGTCCTCGAGCAGGCGGCGGGCAGCAGTGACGATGTCATTGGCGCGGTAGACGTCATGGATGGAGCTGAGGGAGCGCTTGGACGAGACAAAGTGAGCGACGAGCTGCTCGAGCGAGGGCGGACCAGTGTCGAGGCTGGCGGCCGAAGCCGCAGGAGAGGGGGACGACGGCATTGTTCTTGTCGAGGTGGATGAAGTGCTCGCGGTGCTGTTGTCGAGTGGCCTGGTGGGTCGCGCGGGACGGAATCCGGGGTGCAGCCGCACTAGCCGCTTTGGGCAACGCCGATTCGACTGCTGAGCTCTCGGCCTCTTGTCTTCCAACACCAACACAACAAGCCAACAAGAAAAAAGTGAAATCCGAGAACTAATTCACATCTCTAGGTATCTACCGAGCTATACGTGTCTCAGAGACCGCTGATGGCCTCCTTCATCACCTTGGGGACCGTCTCCGCCGCATCGCCCTGGAAGAACCAATCCTGTTCCCGCAACCTCTGGTTCGGCACATCCTCATTAGGCCTCTCGATATTGAACACAGCGATCCTAGCGCCCAATGTCCTCGCCGTTTGAATGTATCCCGCAGCAGGCCACACAGTCGAACTCGTCCCAATAACAAGCATGAGATCTATCTGCCCGTTGGTGGCCCACTCATCAACCCGTTCGAAGGACGACTGCGGGATAAACTCGCCAAACATGACAACACCGGGACGGAGAAGCGACGAGCACTCTGGGCAATGTGGGAGATCTTCCGGCGCGACTTCTCGCATCGGGGTTTTGGGATCCGCGAGGTCCCCTTCCTCCGGCTGCGCCAAGGCCGGCACGATTGGATCCGTCATGTTGCCCGTTTCGGTGTAGTCGCACGCGGCGTTTGTGCATTTGACGTCGAAAAGAGAGCCGTGGAAGTGTTGCAAATTGGTGGCTGGATGGTTCGCACGCTCAGACAGACCTGGTGTCGACGTTAGCCGTCCATTGCCGTCTCGATACGGACCAAGAACGTGAGACTCACCGTCAATGTTCTGCATGATGGTGAAGAAGTCCGCCTTCTTGCTCGCCAGCTCCGCCAGCGCAAAATGCGCTGCATTCGGCTCCGCCTTCAACGCACGGTGGCGCCGATAATTGAAATTTTGCCACACCAGTGACGGGTTTTGAGAGAAGAGTTTCATACTCGAAATTTCTCCACCATACTCGCGCCAGAATCTACCGCTTCCACGGAATGTCGGTATGCCAGACGCAGCCGACATCCCGGCCCCGCAGAGCGCCAGTATGCGCTTGGACGACCTGAGATGCTCGGAAAACGAGGCTATGTCGGCTTGTGAAATCTCGCCTGCTGGTTCCGGTGCTGGCCGCGCTTGCTCAATCTTTCTCTGCTCCTGTACGCATTTCGCCCTGAGCTCCTCGGCGAAAGTGGCGGGGAGTTGGGGCCGGGAAGGGGTCGTTGACGGTGCTGCCGCAAGAGTACTCATTGTTGGATATGGTGATTGGTGAATGATGGGAAAATAGAGCGCTGGCAATCGGGTACATATATACAGAGCCGTGTCTGCCTATGGTGTTGCCTAGTGAGTGGCTGTGCAGCAAGTGACGTGGCGCGCGCTAGTATACAGGTAAATATGTAACCATTGAGAGGTGCATGCAAGGCGCACGCAAGACGCCCTAGTCTAGCTAAACTTTATTTACTTTACTCAGGAACACTGATACCAATTCCAAATCTCTTTTGTCCGCTACTACCACTCCCTGCCACCACTGTAGACGGAGCTCTGAACGAGGCGCAGTCAGTCTCTGTCTGTAACTGTCCCGTTGAGAGAACTGTCGAATTCGGGCTCAGGTGGCAGAGGGGCCCGGCAGTGGATATGCATGACCTGAGCGATGAGCTGGCGGTAGAGATGTTCCATTTTTTGGAGGTTGGGCACGTTGTCTGAGCCGCTGAGCTCTTCAATTAGAGTCCCTTGGTACCCGTAAATCAATGCGCCGAAGAATGCGGAGATGCCGTGGTCTAGAGTGATGTTTTTGATGCTCAAAGCGGACTCGGTTCCAGGAGCCGGGGGAAAGAGTGCAAAAGTTTTGTTACTGAGGATGAGATGACCTATCCTCGGGATGAACTTGTTGCAGACCTCGACTGATGAGAAAAGTTGACATTATAGAAGGCGCATTGGTAGTTTCGTGTGTATTTAGGTCTACCCTATAGGCAATAGGGCTTAAAAGGTTTATTGTCTCCAAATAGTAAGCAATCCCTTATCTGCTTGTGGAAAACAAAAGTAGTTGTTGAAATTATCCTAATGCGCTTTATATTACAACACTGACCTTTCCTTATGGACGCATGTGCCTGGTCGTGAAACATGCTGATAGGCAGCAATGTGATCTTCTCACCCCTGCATATGCCGTACAACGAACAGGTTCTACAAGGGGGGGATCTTCGCTTGGTCTAATTTTTGTACGACTTTTGTCGCCTTCTTCGCCCACTGTTGCTATTTGAACGCTGACGTCTTCAGAAAGTCACTGAAGCAGTTCCGAGCAAACCGCTCGATTACTCCCGAACTTGACCCGCGATAACATTTTCCCTCCAGGACCAAAGACCCACGTATGTTGCCGCAGGTCCAACAAGAACTTGGCCAGCGAGCACGGCCAATGCAGCTTTAGTAGCCTGTCCGGTCAAGACGTAGCCGAGCCTGCGCAGCTCATACACACTGTACAGACACCAGATCATGACCGCGGCAACGTACAGTAGCAGGTCGAACTTGAAGAAGAGAGAGAGTGCCTCGGATGTACTGGTAAGAGCGGCGACCGAAGGGCCAAACGGGTTCGGTAGGTTGGCGAAAACGCTTGCAAGTGAAACTCCTGGGGTCGCGTAGATATGGAAAAAGGTGCAGATGTGCACAGTCGCCGTGGCGAAGAAAGCGAAGCCGTAGCTGACCTGAAGTGGCGTGAGGTCCTTCTGTGCGTACATCTCAGTCTCGAGCGGCGGGTGTCCTTCAATGCGTCTGACCGCCCATGCAATGACGTATGTGAGCAGCGCAACGTAGACAGGATACGGCTGCCAGGCCGCGACCATGGTCTGCCACAAACTGGTATCGGCGATTGGTGTGAACATAAGGACGGTAGGAATGACGTAGCCAAGACAGAGGGCTGGGGTGATGGCTTTGGCAACGGAAGAGGGAAGCGGTCTGCCAGTCGTGCGCGTGTAGATAGGTGTGCTAGTCGTGTAAACACTAGCAAGGAAGTACAAAGGTGCGACCTTGCCAATGCCCAAGAGCTGCGAAGCTACGCTGAAAATAACAGGCCTAAGAGATGGGGAGTTAGCATCTGTAGGGTTATGTTTCTACCAATGCAAGAACATATCAGCTCTGGAAAAGCCTTACCAAGAAACCAGGCTGTAGATATTGCCAATACGGTAAGCCTCAATGGTCCAGATCAAAGCTGCCGGCATAATCATCGCCATGAAGTACGTGCACTGCAATCTTACGTTTGGGTCAGTTCCAGCGACGCCCTCGGAGAATACAGCGACGAGAAGAGACAGCAAAGAATCAAGCTTCTCGAAGCCGGTATAATACTGTTTGACGGGAGAGCCGGCGAAAGACATGGAGTCGAGATCCGAAGAAATCTTCAGTGCTTGCTGTGCGATGTATAGAACCGTTCCAAGCGCTGCCACAACGGTTGACCGAGATAACCATGTACAGCCCAGAGGCTCGCTCGGCAACTCATCCTCATAGGGGACGAAATGAGGGAACTTCCGCATGGGCAGCACCGTCAAACGGGTAGCGGGTACGGATCCCGTTACGAAACGGTCAATAATGCTTTCCAGATGAAGCCGTGGCACTAGGTAAGTAGCCATCAGTCCCAGCAACGGTGTCTCCATGGCCTCAAGGCGCTGCTGGGCATGCGATGCTCGTATAAGTGACCAGACCCGGTCCTGACGCAGCTCTTGCGCATGGCTGAAGATGGAGTGGATTTCGGCGTCGGAAAGGCCTCCAGGGTTGTTCTTCATCCCATTCACCAGACCATTTACAACAGCAGCTGCAGTCTCAACGGCGTTGTTGCCGCCTTGTCCGGAAATTGGCTGAAACTAGGTTATGTCAGTGCGCCGGTTTCTTTGTCATCGAACTACAGTTTGCAGTACCTTGTGTGCAGAATCTCCGATCGTGACGATCCTCTTGAAATGCCATTTTTTGAAAGAATACTCAGGCAGATCGGTGAGAATGGATATAATACGGGTATTATATAAGTCGCGGAATTTGAGTTCATCGATAATGGGATCGTCCAAATGTTTTTTCACAAGCTCTTCCTCATCCTTTTTGGAGTAGCGGGGAATGTCCTTGCCGTAACGTGTCCCGCCAATGTTTTCGAAATAGAACCAGTAGACGCGATCTCCGGGTCCGGAAAAGACGAGGTATGAGGTGTGCTTGCCGAGGATAGTATGGGTGTTGTCAGCCGGGAAGCCTTTCATCATCGAAATTCCGAATATGCACTTGTAATCACAAGGCATGGCTGTAAGCAGGTTTAGCGAACAATTTCCAACGTACGGGGTTCTGAGAAAACGAACCCGATTCTTCTGAGGTGGGGATGTATCCTGGCTCCATCGAATTGGCGATACGCCACATCTCTTTCCTGACGTTGCTATGGATCCCATCGGCGCCCACTAAGATATCACCAACGACGGTCTCATCGTCGCCCGTACGTACTTTCACTTCGCCCTCCACCTGCAAGACTTCCGCTACACGCTTACCGACTTTGATCTTGCTTTTGTCTTTCAAATTGTCGTACAGCGCTTGGATAACCATTCGCCGGTCACAAAAAATGAGTGGATAGCCATGTCTAATACCGCATTAGAGGTTGTCACCCGGAGAGTAGCGAGGAACTTGCCGTTTAATGAGATGATCAGACAAGCCGGAAAGCTTCAAGAGCTCTTTCCCATCAGGATTGCGGACATGAGCATGGCTGGTAGGATTTTCAATAAGGGCTCTGAGTGCCGGGTAGCAACCAAGTTGGTCAAGGACGCGCAACGAATTCGGGAGAAGGGCGATGCTAGCGCCTACTTGTGGTGAGATCTCTGGATACGCTTCAAGGACGACGTAATCAATGTCAAGCCTCTCCAACATGTTGGCCAAAGCAAGGCCAGCTATACTGCCGCCAGCAATAATGACCCGGAAATTTTTCGAAGCCATGGTTGTGGCGATAGCAGGGAATGAGAAGAAGACCGAAACTTGAAACAACAAATTCAAGAAGGAAGTTGGTACTTAAACCTGCCCTGGCGGCCTAAAGCCGCAACTTTATACATTTCTTATTGGTGCTGGAAAACTCTGAAGCGGAGTTGCCCTAATTTGAGGACCCGCTAGGTCACGCCGGAAATATGCACTGACCGTAACAAGGAAGCAGTGATAGGTAGCCTGATGATGTGCTTGCCAAAGCGTCCGCGGAGCGACGCGAACACGTGTTTCAAGAATGGTACGACCACTAGTGGAACAAGGGGTCGCCCGGTCTCTCCGCATGCTATCCATGGGCGGAAAAGGAGGCGGCAATACCACGCATGTTGATGTTGATGTCGACGCTGTTCGTCGTTTCCGGGGTTTGGCCGGCAAACGGCTATCGAGGGTGACTATCGGCTATTGCACACAGACCAACAACATAAACGCGACTCCACACTTCATCACGATAAACGGCCGGAACCCTTCCCCTGGACAGAAGCTAAAGCGGCATACGGGCCGTGGCGCAAGTGGCACTCCCTCACATCTGCTCTGGTTCATGAGCCGTGTAGCAACTTCCTAATGCGGCACGTTGATTGGCCATCAATCCTTCGAAGACGCGTGTTCGCGACCAGGAATCGAGGCCAACCTACCTATCCAAAAGCTATTGGTTAGGAACTGTCAAGACTGTACCTAGAGGACTAGTTGTGAAACGGCTAAAGTTCGGGACAGTCCGGAGATGATCTTTCCACCTCTGCCTCAGACATCCACTGATCCAACCGTTCGTCGCCAATCAGTTCCGGTAACGGAGGCCATCATCAGCTGTCAGCACCTTATCGCAATGTCCATGTTACCGAATGCGCAGCAAACTCCGGCAGTGCGGCATCCCCGTCAGGTATGGTTAAAAACTGTTCTGCACCACCGGGAAGTCGCCCCACTAACGAGATCATCAGAGAGCTTCGAGAGCCTGTACCATGTGTCATTCGCGAAAAACCAAATGCGATGCACTTGAGGTAAATCCTTGTACTAGATGTAAAACTGCCGGTTTGTCGTGCGAATTGTGAACCTCGCATCGAAGCGGGTCAGTACACAACAGTAACGCCACTTCTCCGGGCCTGGGCTGAAGCTGGTGTAGAAATACAAATGCGCAAAGCTAGCGAAGTTAGGACCAGAAGGAGTCCTGTGGATACCCAGACGTTACGCTATCAGCGGGAAGTCTCTCAGGGTCCTCGTCTCGATCCCCTGTCTACTCCCGGCCCGTATGCCCGGGAAGACCTCGTGCGGTCCTTCGAAAATTTCCTTGAAAACCCAAATGGAGTTGACGTCGGACGTGGTGGAGCTATCGTGCATGCCACCGACAACAATGCCCTGTCATCGGTACTGAATACAGCTTCTGGGAATATTGACGATAGGCGCCGCAACTACCACCTTTATGCAGCTCCAAGCCCATCCACCGGGTCGCTCGGGCGATACGGTGATTCCCTAGAGCAGCTCGACCCTATAACTCGCGATTTTCTCCTTGCTAAACGCATCCTGGATCTACCCGAGGCCCACCCCGTAGATCACTTGGTCTAGAAATACTTTGACCACGTGGATCCTCATGTTCCGCTGATCCACAAAAGATATTTCCAGAATAAGCTCAAAAGAAATGAAGTATCTGCGTTGCTCATGTAGAGCGTCATGTTTGTTGCCTCCCATTTTGCCGATGACATTGTTGCAACGTCACAATGGGCGACTCGCACTGAGATGGCTGCATCTTTCTACGAGAAGGCACGTTTGGTAGCCGACTTCAAGTTGGAAAAGGATCAAATTACGCTTATTCAGAGCTTCGTTCTATTAGGGGAGCGTTGGGTGCGTTGGACAGCCTGATAGATGAAAGGAATCCCCGATACTGGATGAGCCGAATCAACGTAGCTGTGATAATAAGGCTTCATCGAAGGTAAGTCTTTTCAGGCATAGTATTAATGTGTGCTTACTCTGCTTTAGAATAGATACGCTTTAGCTTTCCAAATCAAAGGCATTGCTTTGGAAACGCATCATTTGGGTTGTTTTGGTAGGTGCGCTCCGGATGCTTCGCCAGTTTCTGCTGCCCTTAAATTACTATAGATGACTAACGAATTAAAACAGGCATGGGGTCGGTACACCGCTCTCGCTGTGGGCGCCCCTACCCTAATAGATAATAGACGGACCGATGCAGACTCCGCTTCGCTCGAAGAATATTATTTCGACGAGAGTCCAGAAGATCCTGCTGCGGATCGCTATACATTGCGATCCCTAGAAACAGCCTAGAAACAGTAAAATACTCAATGACGATAATTGTCAAAGCAGAGTTCTATCTGCAGCTCATGATATTTGCCAGGTAATAAGCTATATCCGTACCCATGAACCTTTTTTCACCATGTCAGATCTGGCTGTAAGTTTCTCAAATCCAGGAGCCTTGTCTCCAAACTCATCTGCCAAGCTGTTGTTGATCGCTCACCGATGTGTTTTTCTATACAAAACAGTGTTTCGGGAGTATTCCCACAATGGCATTTCTGCTGGCAGATTGTCGCAAAGTTTTATCCGCATCAGGCGAAGCACCGAATTCAAGTTCCTTTGGACTACTTCGTCAGTTGATTCGCGACTTGACTATTCTGGAAGACACATGGGAAGCCCGCAGGCTGGTTCCGCGAGCTATTCCATATGTCTTTGACCAATCTTCAGAATAAGGCAAACTGCCGCGATACTTCAGATATGCCAGAGGGTGGACTGCCCTCGGATATTATATATACTGGAAACGGGCCCTACTCTTCGTGCGCTTCGCCTGGCTCCCTATATGATAGCACGCGAGAGCTATTCCTGGACCTTGAAAGCCTGCTGAACTGGAACTCTGGTGACGTGCTTTTCTGGAACCATAACTGCTCCGCTTTTGGTATAACGGGTGATCGCTCGACTCAGAACTTTACTGAGTAATCGTTCCATGTAAGATCTCCATTATATTTTGTTTTCGAGGGCGCCGGGCATTGAACATACAGGAACAAGTCGATGTATTTGGTAAGGACTTTCTAATATGTTATTCTTCCCGCTTATCACTACCTTTTACAATTTCACTATCGCTGATTATCCGGTTGTGTAGCTGTCCGCAAAGATATGTGGGGCCCCGTTTAAGGCGCGCCGCTTACCGTCAGCTGCTCGCTGCCTGCTGTTAGTCTGTTCCTGCACTCTTTCTGCTCACTTGACGTATGTAAACGGGGTACAGCTGATTACGTACTACGTAGTATGGACTAGTAACCTAGTGCGCTGTAAGTTCTATTTTTAGTTTGTGAAGAAATTAGTATTTAACCTTGCTGACTGCTGACTGCAGTCTTTCCACGAACATCTACTTCGATTTGAATCGCGCCTATCTTTAGATACTGTGCAGATCAACGTCCCGCTCTTCTCTAAAATGGATCCGGATATGTTCACAAAGCCTTTTCAGCTCACAAAGGCAATGCGCCGTGATCTCTACCCCGCAGTAGACCCGCACAACCCGAACCTTAGCGCCAAGGGCAAAGTCGTCATTGTCACCGGCGCCGGCGGCGGTATCGGCAGCGTAAACAAGCTCAGTCAAACCATAACGATGATAGATAACTAACGAACATATGCAGAGCGTAGCCAAAGCCTGGGCTCAAGCCGATGCTGAAGCCATTTTGCTCGTTGGCCGCACCGCTTCGAAGCTTGAGGTCGTCGCTAAAGAGGTCGGACCTCGAAGTGTGGTAAATGTCACGGATATGACCAGCGAGAAGGACGTCGAATCCTTGTTCAAGACTGTCCAAGCCAAATATGGCAGGTTGGACGCCCTGATTAACGCCGCCGGCAGTGGACATCCTGGGCTCACTATTGCTGAGATTGAGCCCAGCGATTGGTGGCAAGATTACGTATGTATCCGACCGTAAGAGAAGACGAGCGCGTGCCATGACTGGCGTACACGATGGCTGATACAGTCCTGGCCGAACAGGAAGCCACCATGAAAGCGACATTCCTAGCCACGCACTTCTACGCCAAGTTCTTCAATGGCAGTGGCACTATCATCAACGTCGTCTCCATCGCAGCTCTGATTCCGAAGCCTAAAATATCGTCATATTCGTCGGCCAAACTTTCTCAAATCAAATTCGGTGAGCTCGTTGGCCTCGAGTTTCCCGACTTGCGCGTCTTCTCAGTACATCCGGGCATAGTCGAGCCTGAGAACGGAAGGGGCATCGACATTCCTGGTATTGAACCATTTGCCAAGGACAAAGCTATTCTGACAGGCGGCTTGTCGCTGTTCTTAGCCACTGCTAAAGTCGATAGGCTGGCTGGCATGTTTCTTTCTGTCAACTGGGATATTGACGAGGTGATGGAGCATCTGGATGAGATTGTTGAGAAGGGTCTGCTCAAGCCTGTAGGCATTCGTGCGCAGTTGGGACCGGGTGGGCATCCTTGGAGCAAGTGAGAGTCGAAGACACATGGCCTTTCACTTGTCGCTTTTGAATAGTAGCATGTTGATGTTGCAACAATTTCGAATCAGACACCATTGGATCTCTTTCAGGATGCTTGCAGGTACTGCGTAGACTTAAGGCTTGCGCCCAGGTCAATTAGATAAGAAAAAGTTAGGAATATGGCTGATGCCTACAGGGAAGTTGGGATCATCTCTTCATAGGTAAACACTGTGGCTGCAATCTTTACAACACTACCCGGAACAGTCGAAAAAGTTGTCGAACACCCGGTGTTTCGCAACAAAGACTTATGTAGTGCAAGATTAAAGCTACTGAAACGGTCTGTTTGACAAAAGTCGGTAATGCAATTTTCCAAAATGCTTCCCTGCGCAAAATAAAGCATTTAATCAAAAGCGAGCCGATTCTGCTAAATTTCAAGCTAAGGAGCTCCCACAGATACGGCAACGTCGAAGCCGTGATGCGACTGCATCGCGAGCCTTGGGACCTGTACGCGAATGAAATTGGCCCTGACAGCGGTGCCGCCTTAGATTGGGCTTGCATATTGGTGCTCGAATACCTTTACGCGGACGATGACGATACTGCGCTCCGGTTCCATTACAGTATTAGAAATTTTTTGGAACCGACGATTTCTACGATAGAGAATTCTAGCACCTCACTCGACATATCCAGGGACACGAACCAGGATCTGCCCAGCTATAGGAAAACTCTGATGTTATAGCCTATAGGTTGGGATAACGTGTCGATTTCAGTCTGTAAGACGATGCTGGTCGCCATCCATTAATTCCTATGGCGATATCCAAACGGTGAATTTTGCAGATTCCAGTGTGCTATGCTCACTTCGGTCGCACACTGCTTATGGTGTTGCGTATAGTGTTGCGTATGTTATTGCGTAGTAGACGCGCGGCGTATACTACTGTTTAGGTTTTACCTTTCAACTCAACACTAAGCTTACTAGAAGCTTTCGTAGCTATATAACGTTCACCAACTACCGCTCCCAGCATACTTCTATCCTCAAGCAGGATTTAACATACTCTATCAAATATTACTTTATTTTCTAGACATCTTCTAGTAAGTATTGTTGACCAATAGACCACGAAAACCTTCGATGTTAATAACAACAGAGAAGCACAATCATAGACCAAGACCAAAGCTCCCATCAGCCTGAATCCCCCGTAGAGGGAGAAACTAAAAGACCCAAAACACCGCCAAAGTCGCCTCAGCCCAAGCCGCCGCCTGATCTAAAGCCTCCTCAGCCAAAACCACCACAGCCGGAGCCGCCGCAGCCTAAACCACCTCATCCTAAGCCGCCATCGTATCCGCCACTTAATGAGGAACAAGCTGGTATCACGAGACTAGTCAAATGTTCTCTGTATTGTGCTTTTATAAACTACAATTGCTGAAATTAAAGATGGGTGATACTGCGCTTGGAGATGTTTCTTTTAGTTACTATATAAATTGAATTCTCTAGGTTTATCTACTCTTTTCGCCAGATTACAATTCATGTTATAATGTTTCTTGCTGTAAGTGTGAGTAGGCGTGGTCTCTAGTGCTAACAAGGCTGAAGGCGGCTTAGATATCGACTTGCGAACTACGAGAACAGATGAGAAGAATAGCAGCCGCCTTACAATGTTGAGCGGAGCTTTCCGAGCGACACATCCACGCCCAGACAACTATGCAATAACTTTTCTGTGCGGTCGGCCTTGCGTTTATGTCTATTGTATACAGGGCCTGTACGTATGCATGTCTTATCGAGACTGAAAAAACGTCGCCATTTCGTCGCTTTTTCTGCATAATCGATTTAAGGGATCTAAAGTACCAGAGCCAATATAGGGACCTATAACTAAAAATACCTTGTTCAAGTAGTGTAATGGATGTCTCACTGGGTCCTATGATGTAAAAGGTGCCAGTGGTAAGCGCGGTGGATGATTGCGAATATGAAAAAGGAATGGAGCTCAACATTTTCTTCAGTATCTATTGTGAATCTTATAGCAAGGCCAGAACTCTGTCTTGCTTACCATGAGAGCATTCGTCCAGAATAATGCAGGGTATGGCCGCATGGCGCACGATTGATTTATACACGGCCTTGTCTTTAAGGCATTCTGGCGCTAACCTAGCGCAAATCTATCTAATATTTTTTTATTTTTTTATTTTTTTATTTTTTTATTTTTTATTTTTTTTTTAAAAAAAAAAAATAAAATAAAATAAAATAAAATAAAGTATTCCAATCATGTAACTACCTTGGCTTATGGAAGCCTTGTCTTCTCTACAATCAAGAAATCAAAAGGCATTACATGCGACAAGCAGCCAGCTACCTACCTGACAAACTCCGCTTCGCGGCCTTCGCTTTCATCCAGCGATTAGTGTCTTGCGCATAAATTCGCCCAGCAGTATGCAAGAGATGCGCTGCTGTTCGTCAACCAGCGTTGGTGTCGGTGATGTGACTTGCTCTACTATTATAAGATTTGAGGGAATCCATGTACAGTTTTAGGAAGTGATCATTCTACAATAAAAGCTTATCCATCTCGCTAGTATTCTGGAGATTAAGGCTCCCCACACACTACTTATTACTTAGCCTAATAGTAACACCGAGTACCATGCAGTGGCGTGAATTATAAGCGCTAAATAATACATTGGGGGCCAAAATAACGGATTTAGGCATGGCAAAACGCCACTTTCCAGCCCCAAGGATGAAACGCTCGCCCCGTGAAACTAATTTTAACTTTGTACTACCGCTACTCAGCCACCAAATAATAAGGTACCTAAGGCTACTCGCTATCCGAATGTTTGTTTATTCCGACATCCTTCTTTCCCCCCACGTCGCTCCCACAGTTGTCCTACAGAGGCGTTATGGCAGCTTACCAACCCGCAGCCAAGTCTGATTCTCAGAGGGTGAAATGGAAAATTCACTGGATTCCTCCAGCGATTATGGTATCTTTGCTTATTGCAGGGATTGCCTTTGCCGTTGGGCATCATTTCTTCTATCAGTCGCTGGACGACACACTCGTCACCTCTTCCAGCCAGCAAAAATGGACGATTCGAATTGGAACGGGCATGGCATTCCTGGTGAAAGCTACACTTGCAGCCGCCGTAGGCGTCGCCTTCACACAGTATTTGTGGATGATCGCTAGAAGAAAGGCAATGGCCGTTGGAAGTTTAGATTCCATGTTTTCCTTGACAAGCAATCCTTTGTCGTTCGCAAACTTGGAAGTACTTTTCAAAGCAAAGCTGCTTGTTCTGCTTGCGCTAGCTTCATGGTAAGTGCTTCTGATCGGCCGGTCTACTTGCAGATCTCGCGCTCATCGTCGTACAGGTTCATGCCTCTTATCGCAATTGTCACTCCGGGTACCATCTCCGTGGAAAACCGGATGGTCACGAACACGACGAATGGTCGAGTTCCTTTCGTGGCCTTTTCCCGGTCCGAAGACGTCTGGTCAGATTATGTAGGAGAGTCTGGTTCCTTTGGGACTGTTGGTAGTGCTTCGCCAGCAGTTACCCGCCTCCTGTCGGCTGTTGCCTCCTCCATGGGTATTATTCCAATAACGCCTCAGTTTGCCAACTCGTCCTTCACACTGCATTTTCATGGACCAGCACTGAAGTGCGAATCTCTGGCAGACGCGAAGAACAATGACCAGCCAGTGGGGGACTGTAGGAATTGCACGTCACTGCAACGGCTCTGGAACAGCACCATGAAGAACAGCAATGCTGCACAATACATTTACTGGCAGTCTGCAGCACCCGAGGATTCGCATAACCTGTTGTTTATCCGCACAGGCACGGGAGTGCATGTCGGAGGAACCCCTAGGTATAATAGCTGCCAGCTTTGGAATGCTTCTTACACTGCACAATTTAATTTTACGGATGGCGCACAGACGACCACGATTAAGGATCTAAAATACGAGTCCACGATGAACTATACTTCGTCGACGTCTTTCGGAGAGCTCCCACCCGGCGGGAGAGCATATCTATCCATGTTTCAGGCAATATCCACACTGTTGTTTGGTGAAGTCGGGATCACGCAAGGACTTTCATCATCTGGAATGCTGGGAGCAGACCTGCCCATCGTCGGGACTGGTCTAATGGCATGCCCCGAGATCCTGGCCGACTGGAAGTACGATGACAAGGGGACGACACTCGATCAGATCGTATCACCGTGGATGTGCAGAAAGAACTCTGTACCTGCAGCCGTAGAGGACCTGTTTCAAAACTTCACGCTGAGTTTGCTGAGTAGCCAGTTCCTCAATGGAAACACCAGCACGGACATTTATGTCTCCTTTCCGAGGAACTTCTGGAGCTACAATCCGCTTGATTTGCTTATTTCCTACGTCGTCGGTGTGGTCGTTGCTCTGGTAGCTATCATTGTTGGTTTCTGGGCGCTTTTCTTGAATGGCTATAGCGCGGGTTCATCCTTCTCGACCATCCTCCTAACTACAAGGAATCCTAATCTAGATGATATTGCAGCGGGACAATGCTTGGGGTCACAGCCCCTTGACCGGAATTTCCAGAAGATGAAACTGCAGTTTGGCATTGTGGGCCGTAAAGACGGAGTTGACCATGCTGCATTCGGGATTCGAGGGACCGTCAATAAACTAAGGAAAGGCCAAGAATGCAGCTAAGGTATAGCAGTTATAGCTCTTAACGTCCAGGATAAATTGGCGGCGTTGGATAAATCGACGTCCTTTAGCTCTCTCTCTCTCTCGAATATATGCTTTGCTTTCGCACTATGGAAATTCAAGTCTGCTGTTATAAAAGCTTAATACCAAACCTACTATACTATGTATTACACTTGAGGCATGGAGACAAGATGATTTCAGAAGAGTTAGATGTCGCCTCGGAGCCGAGAAGGATCCTAGCCAGGCGCTGGTCCTGGTTCAGTTTAGGCCGTCGCTTACCTGTAACCTAGGTCTAGTCCAGTCCCTTTCCATCAACGTCAACGCATCTCTCCACACCCCCACACCCCCACACCCCGCCATGTCTCCCGCACGCTTGCATGACCTCGACCGCGATGTTTTGTGCGATTTGTTAATCCTCAGCCCCGATCTCACTACACTGCGCTGTCTCATCCTCACCCATCCCATCTTCTACCATGTCTTTTCCAGCCGCCGTCGCCTCATCGTCAGGCTTGTCTACAGGAGGCAGCTGAGTCGCGCGTCCAAGCAGGCCGTTGTCGGCGCTGATATCTTCATTTCCAAAACTACTTTCGCCAACAGCTTGGACAGCTTAGCCCTGCGCGAGGCCCTCTGGCCCCTTCTTGAGACGCGACTTCCGGCCGACACGTCCATACGCTAGGCTACGGCACTTCTCGCAGAGTACCGCAAGGCCAACCTTGAAAGCGATGCTTTAGCCTTTGCTACTCGTACCCTCGACGCTATCATGGCTGAGATGCCGCAGGAGCTTTCCGCCGCTGCATGCGGCTTTGCCAGAGCTGTTGTCCGGACTTATGTGGCGGACAATCGCACCCGGGATGCATTGACTGTGCAAGAGACTGTACGAAGCCGTCTCGACCCGCACAAGCCTCGTCACAGCATTTGGTCCAAGGAAATTTCTGCTTCGTACCGCAATGCCGGTGACTCGGAGGCCGTACTTCGACTGCATCTCGAGTCCTGGGAGCTCTACGTGGCAACCCTGGGCCCTGACAGTGGAGTAGCCTTGGATTGGGCTCGCGGAGCTGTGTACGAGTATCAACAGGCGGGTGATGGTGATGCAGCGCTACAGTTCCATCACAGAGCCAGAAACCTCCTTCACCCAACAACTGCCAACTATGTCGCTTGGTCGCGCCAGCTGATTCATATGTATCAACGCCAGCAGATGCAGGCAGAAGCTCTCGCCGTCACCGAAGAAGTGTTCCAGCATCTTACTCCACATGATACTGGATACAGAGCATGGGCTGCTCAGCTGTGCGAGCAGTATTATGTCCTAGGTAGGAACGACATGTCAATTTTAGTCTGCGAGACCACATTCGCCGCAATCAGTCAATGTCTGCAACAGCACCCTAATGATAACTCTTGGAAATTCCACGCTCGTGGAGCTCGCCTGGCGTTGGCTAAGGAATACAGACGGGCTGGGAAGCCTAACAGGGCGCTTGCAGCTGAAGCGCTGTGTGAATAATGTAAAGAGCAGTGTTCTCGTTCTTTTTGTTTTTATTTTTATTCTTTATTCTTTTCTAAGATCTTCCCTTTATTAAGTCCCTAATACTGTGTCTAACCTCGGCATGCAGTGTACTCTCTGTTGCTCATCCTAATGGTAGCCTGCTTACAGGTGTAGACTATTGAGCGGAACACTAGATAATGGGCGCGTTTACGGTCACGACAAGGCTGAAGACAACCTGCAATGCTGACTTTTAAACACCGCAAATGAAAGAGAAGGATAACTGCTGCCTAGTAATGTTGGAACGGGGCTTCGGAGCAACGCCTCTCAGCCGCGACAACTGGCGCCTTGTGTCCACGGTCAGCTTCTTGCAGAATATTTCTCATAGCGAGATCCTAGCTGCTGCATCTCCACAAGTGTCATGCGCTGCTGTTGTATGCCTTGCAATTATGCGTGTTCCATGTGTCGCTGCCCAAGTGGCGCAATATTGGCTTGGCAGCAGGCTCAGCACATTAGCTCACTACAAGGCTACAAACATCCTGCTACTGCTAGAAAGGCGCCGAATACCATCAAACGTCCATTTGACAGCTTTTATCTTTTATTTCGATCATGGGCTCAAGAAGAGCCGCAGGCGATTTCGCTCCTTTCAAAAAGGACACTCAGCTTTGTGATGATTTGGATGACTGCGAAATCACATCAGCTGGTGGGGTAATCAAGCCGCTTCGTGCAACAATACCCGGTCGGCCTTGCGCTTTCCTTAACGATTTCGGCGGTGTCGAACGATTCCTCTACCAGGAATTTGTTGCACCTGACCTCGAAGATATTGCACCACACCTCTGGATTCTATCAACACAGTCAAGCTCGAATATAAACTCTCTACATCGGCAAAAGATTAAGGGTAGAGAGATTGTCGTTACGGAAGACCCTCGCTTGCACCTGGTCTGGATTCATGATCGGATTTTCATCAAGCCTCTCCCAAAATACATCCTGTCTCATGCATTTTGGAAAATGTTTTTTTCAAAACAATCCTTTCGTATTAAAGAAAATCGCGAAACAATCCTCCAGGCTACTAAAGGGTATCTACGGACATACCGATACCTGATCTGCCACGAATCTGACTTCCTTATTGCTAAGCAAGACCATTTAAGGCTCATACCCCCGGATGTCGAGTGGGAAGTCTTTTGCCGTTTTATCGCCGAGATTGAGAAAATCAGAGATGAAGACGTGTCCAAACGCTACCTATATGGTGAACTTCGACTTTCTCGACTTAATCTATACGCTCCGTTGTTACTACACAAATTTTACTACGAGCAAGTCTATGGGCAGTACGCAGATTACTTCGCCAGGTTGTATGGACCAATATTATTCGTTTTCGCGATTGCTACAACAATACTCAACGGGATGCAAGTCGAATTGGCTGTCGAAGAATCGTTGCCACAACACTGGAATTCTTTCTGGCCTGTTTGTCGAGGGTTTAGCATGCTCAGCCTAGTCGGAACAGCGCTCATAGCTTTGGCCTTCGCGCTTCTTTGGCTATGGATGTTTATTGACGAATGGCTGTACGCGATAAGACACCGGTGGAAAGGCAATAAAAGCCACAACACGTTGGATTGTTAACGTGGTCATGCATACCTACGTAGCTGCAGTGTGCCTCCACGTTGCTTTGTCTGATTGGCTAGAGAGAACAACCTTAGGATCTGTTTGTGACTTCGGGGGCCCTTGGCAGCTAGATATTAGCTTACAATTAATCATGTGGCAGAATTTAGCGCTTACTTGATCCTTCAGCCCTGCTCTGTCATAGATATATATAATACTCGCTACTGTCGTCCTCGACTACGTCCTACCTTAAACAATAACTCAAATCAATTCTTCAGAAGCAACTCTTATTCACTTGATTTCGTCAATTCGAGCCAGTAAGTATTGACCTTTTAATAACTCTCTATGAATGCTAAGTTAAACTAAAGAAGACATATTGCCATGGCTATAGACAACAGCCAATTACGGCCCCCTGTGAAGGGGGAAAATACCGGTACAACTACAACAACAACTAGTGGTACAAATGGCTCAGGGTCGGGAAAAAAGAAAGGGACGGCCACCACCTATCCGCAGCCTACAAACCCACCTAATAGCAATGGGGGCCAAGGTTATCGCACATAGTAATGAATACAATAGCTTGAGGGATATCAAATCTTATACACATATCTATAACAAGTATAGTATAGACTTATAGAATTTTGTGTGCGAAGCGGGAGCTATACTAGTACCACTCCGCTGAGTCCTCGTTCGGGGTCCAGTATATATCCTTATCCACACCATCTTCAGTGTTGGTACGAATAGTAACGCGACCAAACCTTTCCAAGATATTTAAGTACGCTGCATGAGTTTTCTCCGTCCACTCAGTAAGGTCCCCCATAGAATCTTCATCGTCGGCTGCAACGGACTCAAATCTGTTTTCAGAATTATACATCTCATAATCTGGGAATATCTCCTCTGCACCCATTTCCAACAATAACTCTGTCATTTCGTTATTTCCGTTTCTTGCGGTGTAGCTCAACATCCTGTGTTGATCAACATCTTGAGCATCCACGTCTGGATAGTGGCGCAGCAAGGCTTGGAACGAAGAAGTGTTGTTTGTATAGATTGCGTTCCAGATAGGATTTCCAGGATAACTCCACGGGTTACTACCGAACAAAGCCATTGATGCTCCGAGCGTAAATAACCGCTCAATCACTTTACCCGGATACCATGCTGCAGCTAACTGCAGAACATTGTTACCGGGCGGGGATATTGTATCTGTTTCGACGTGCACTATGTTTAAGATGTCAAGAAATTCCAGTAGAGTATGCGTTCGTGTCCCTTCGAAGGTTTGGGCGCCATGAAGAAGATAAACCACCGGATTCCAACCGTGGCAGCTGACATGTGTGCCGTCGGCTTTCCTGTGAAGTAGCAGACGTGTGATATCGTACATGCCCAGGTATAGCGCCCGTTGGAGAGGGCTCCTAATTCCTGTAAGTAATGCAAGCCAAAACACTTTTAAGGTCTAACATACGTTTGGTTCCGACCAAAAGTTTGGTTGACGTCCGCACCCTGATCTAAAAGAAATCGGACTAGTTCGACGTACCCGCCTTCTATAGCAAGCTACCAACTCAAAGTAAGCATATTAAATACGTTAGCTGGAGATTTGAAAGAACTCACACATAGAAGGCTTTCGTTGGCGCAAGTGACATCGTATACGCTTGCAGCTTTTTCTCGAAAGAGCTTCCTAGCCACCTCCAACCATCCATACTTGCATGCTTGGATTATCTCGGAATCATTTGGGATTATATTTAGTGGCATCATCAAGTTGGAATGCAAGTCCGATACCTTCCATGGGTTTTGGGTGAATCGGAAAGTGAAGTCAACCGAAATGAGGCGCGTACGTCGATTCGGTGGACGATACCTGATAGAGACTGAAAAAACGTCGTCCTTACGTCGCTTTTTCTGCACAATCGATCCAAGGAATCCAAAGTACCAGAGCCAATATGGGGACCTGTAACTGAAAATACATTCATCCTGTCTATTTCGTTCTTTTGGCAATGGGCCGGAGAATGAGAGTTCTTTTGCCACCAAATCCGTGTGTTGTTCTAGATAAAACTGTAATTGCTTCGAGATTTGGTCGACACCCTTGGTGGGCTTTTGGAGGCCGATTAAAGTATTCTCGTGTCCGAGGGAGGAGCCCGGAAGGATATATTCGAATTGGTTTGTACCACTCCTTATAAGTAGTGTAATGAAGGGTCTTGGTGTATTGCCCAGGGTAGACCCACAAGAGTGAAGTTGGTCGATTGCCGTTGTGTCTTGAGTCTCACGGCTGTGCTTATTATCTAAAAGATATAGTTAACCTACATGGTACTAGAGTCCGAGCAACGGTCAAGATGAAATATTACACTGAAACCGGGCTAAGGCAAGCCCATGAGATGAACCAATCATGCCTTTGAGCACCTCACTCACTGTCTCGAAATCTTCCTCCGTGGGCTTCGCAAATTTGTTCATATCAAAATGCGTCCGAGATAAAGAAAACTTGCTTGTTCCCTCGGAAAGATCGAGACAGCCGGAGCTCTCGTTCACCACAAATCTCTTCCAAAATAGTTAGCAGCTGTGATGCGACTGGGCTTCTTTGAGACTCACTGTGCGATCCTCTTTTCCCACAATCTTGCCTATGTTACTTGACTTGAGCTCGTAGAAGCAAGCAACCTGAGCCTTGTTTGCCAATTTTCGTGTCTTTCCGAACTGATCGACTAATTCCTGAAGAAACTCATTCCCCGGCTCTAATATTCTTAAGACATCCGGCTGTACCTCGTCTTCGTGATATTCACTTCGTGCTGCCTCTAACATTTCCATTAAGCTCATTCCTTCCGCCCCTCGAAACGGGGTGCCGAAGAATAGCAGACCGGTGGTGGATATGAATGTTCCTGGCCATTCGCCAGTATCATATCTGGCATCGAGAAGTGCCTGTGTATCCTTAGTTGCGAATAATTTTGTTTACAGGGTATTGGCAGACCTTCAGAACAATAAGCCCTCCGAAGCAGTGGGCAATGAAAATCAGTGGGCGGTATGGAAATTCCTAGCTAAGTTAGCTACAACAAGGTTTATGTTGAGATATATGGTACCACTCTTTTCCGTTTTAATGCAAGAAGCAATCGATGTGCCACTACCGAAGCTTTCTGCCGCATCGCGTCTTTGCCAAACCACTGGGACTGGTACCCATATCGCATGATTCGCAAGTTTGGTGCTAAAGCTCGCAGCATGTTTTCTTCGACTAGCCAGTTCGTCCATCGTGGATTATCCGCTGTGCCGACATTTCTACACCAGGTATCGTCTGGATGGGCTCCGATGCCGTGAATTGCGACGATGCTATAATATTCAGCATGACATAAAATTACAAAAGGCCATAAGAGCAGATGTACTCAATAACATCGACCGCTTCTGGTGGTGCTTCGTGAAGCACCTTCAAGCCGATGTCGTCGTGTGTTACCGACCGGACCTTGTTGCGTTAGCCTGCTACGTTGAGAACTTGAGAGCACATTTAATGCAGCTATCAGTGCTTATAGAATGCCTTACCATCGTGTACTGCTGTATGGTTAAGTTCCTCACCGCGTATACGTGCTAAGGGAAATTCAAAGATATAGGTAAGAATTTGGTGAGAAGTCATTCAGGATAGTAGGGTGGTGTACACTTTACTACAATAGCCGTACCGCATAGCCTCTTTACAAGGCTGAGACGCGTGCCTAGCTGAAGGAATCCTGTAGCTGCTTATGGAGCCAAATTTGCTGACCGGCGTCTGCATGGCTGGAGTTTTGCACTTTTTGTGACCTATCATCCCCAGAGCTGGTTGCGCACCTTTTGCTGGCCCAGTCGCTTCGCGCCAACATCCTTGTAAATTCATACCCAGTTCACCAAGGATCACTCTTTCCATCCGCAGCACAAACTTTAATAGGCAATAATAGCGCCACAATAAGGCTAAGAAGTTGGGCATCTGCTCCTCGCGCGTGCTGACGAGTCGCTTATGCGCAAGCCACCAACCTCAACACCTGATTGCGCCTCTGGCACAGCCTGCTGCTAGCCCTCACCGGTATGCTTACTACTGCCGCCTACTGCCTGTTACTTATTGTGTCGCTAAGCCTCTGTTGTCGGTCTCTAGTGACTATTACAGCGGAAGCGTATTGGAGATGTGATCCTTTTGTTTGCGCTACGGACATATATGTCATTTCCTAAGCTAATACTACTCTAGTAAACCACCTTAATTCGCGCCAACCCGATCTGGCTGCAGAAAAAGTGCTAATATACTTCTTAGCCTGTATAATATACGAAACGCGACTATAGGCGAGCGACCCGGTGTATAATTAATTGAGTACGACAACTTTCTCGAGGCAGAAGGGAACGCAATAACTAGCGCTCCTAGGGACCTAAATCCGGCGCTAAACGAACCGGTATAGCTAGCTTATCTACCCCCCTAACTTATACTAGGCCCTAGGCCTTAGTTATTACGTTATAACCGGAAAATATACTAGTCTCTCCCCTAACCTAGCGGGAAAATTTTTCGGCGTTCTTTACTAAGAAAAACTACTCCTATAGAAACTACCCGGAACTATAACTTCGTAACTAAAGAGGTACCTAACTAATCTTAAGATAGAAACCTATCCCCCTAATATACGGGAGGATCTCTCGACGCCCCCTTTAACCCGCCTAAGAATTATCCTATCCTCCCTAATTCTAACGGACGAAGATATAGATATAGAATAAGGGCCTTCCTATTAGAACGATAAATCCCTAAATATTATCCCTACCTCTATCTATAGTAAGCGCTAACGGGAGAATATCTTCGCCTTCCTAGCTATACTAGATAAAAATACTAAAAGAACCCGCTATCCTAGTAACCTTCCCGCTCCTAAAACCTCTACTAAATAGCTCTAAGCCTCCCTAGACTACCTTCTAAAGGTAGCTAACATACAACACACACGAACCATCAGAAGGGAACGTAGCAACTAGCGCTCCCAGGGACCTAAATCCGGCGCCAAACGAACCGGCACAGC